ACTAGAAATTAAGCATACACTGACTGAAATAAAGAATAATATACAGAGATCCAACAGCAGGCAAGAGGATCCCAAGAATCAAGTCAAAGATTTGAAATATGAAGAAGCAAAAAATACCCAACCAGAAAAGAAAAAAGAAAAAAGAATCTAAAAATATGAAGATAGTGTAAGGAGCCTCTGGGATAACTTCAAGTGTACCAACATCCAAATTATGGGGGTGCCAGAAGAAGAGAGAGAGCAAGATATTGAAAACCTATTTGAAGAAATCATGACAGAAAACTTCCCCTACCTGGTGAAAGAAATAGACTTACAAGTGTAGGAAGCACAGAGAACCCCAAATAAAAGGAATCCAAAGAGGACCACACCAAGACACATCATAATTAAAATGCCAAGGGCAAAAGACAAAGAGAGAATCTTAAAAGCAAGAAGAGAAAAACAGTCAGTTACTTACAAGGGAGTACCCATATGATTGTCAGCTGATTTCTCAACAGAAACTATGCAGGCCAGAAGGGAGTGGCAAGAAATATTCAAAGTGATGAATAGCAAGAACCTACAACCAAGATTACTTTACCCAGCAAAGCTATCATTCAGAATTGAAGGTCAGATAAAGAGCTTCACAGATAAGAAAAAGCTAAAGGAGTTCATCACCACCAAATCAGTATTAGATGAAATGCTGAAAGGTATTCTTTCAGAAGAGGAGGAAGAAGAAAAAGGTAAAGATAAAAATTATGAACAGCAAATACACATCTATCAACAAGTGAATCTAAAAATCAAGTGAATAAAAAATCTGATGAACAGAATAAACTGGTGAATATAATAGAATCAGGGGCATAGAAAGGGAGTGGACTGACAATTCTTGGGGGGAAAGGGGTGTGGGGGTGCAGGAAGAGACTGGACAAAAATCGTACACCTATGGATGAGGACAGTGGGGGGTGGGGAGTAAGGGCAGAGGGTATGGTGGGAACCGGCTGGAGGGGAGCTATGGGGGGGAAAAAGAGGAACAACTGTAATAATCTGAACAATAAAGATTTAATAAAAAAAATAAGTCTCATAAAAAAATAAAAATTAAACCTTCCTTCCCCAGCTGCAGGCACTGGCTTCGCTCTGGCCGCCCGTAGGCACCGGGGACCCAGACTGGCTTCCCTCCGCCCACTTCATCTGGAAGGATGTCCAGAATGACATCCGGAAGATGTCTGGTCTAATTAGCATATTACCCTTTTATTATAGACTAGTGGCCCGGTGCATGAAATTTGTGCACATTAAAAGGGAATTAATTAGAGGAAATATTTTATTTTATTTTTTATTTTTTTAATATATTTTATTGATTTTTTTACAGAGTGGAAGGGAGAGGAATAGAGAGTTAGAAACATCAATGAGAGAGAAACATTGATCAGCTGCCTCCTGCACACCCCCCACTGGGGATATGCCCACAACCAAGGTACATGCCCTTGACTGGAATTGAACCTGGGACCTTTCAGTCCACAGGCTGATGCTCTATCCACTGAGCCAAACCAGTCAGGGCTAGTGGAAATATTTTAATATTGCTATTTGCCCTTTCTCTATAATAGAAGTGTCAGAGATGAAAGGAAATTAGTAAAATGTATATGAAAATAATATATATACTTATTAATAAATAAACAATAACAAAATGATATAACAACAAAAAAGACATGATATAAAAACAACAAAAACATGATATGAAAACAACAGTGATGCAAACAATGACTGATAAAGTGATTAAACTTATTAGAATAAGTCCCCTGCCCCCATATCTCCCTATATACCACATTAAGAGTGAAAACACTTTCAGTTTGCTTGACTAATTTCCCTTGTGATGAAGTTTTTACAACTTTAACATCACATGCTGTTCGAACTCGAGAGAAAGCAACATATAACTGACCATGTTCAAAAACGGGTTCAGGTAGGAATATTCCTACTCTGTCTAGAGTTTGTCCTTGTGATTTATTAATAGTCATCACAAATGCTGGCATCATGGGAAACTGTTGTCGAATTAATTTAAATGGGAGGCCAATGTCAGATGGGGACAAATCAATTCTTGGAATCAGAACAACCTCTCCCTCTGCAGATTCTGTTAATACTTCAGCTTTGATAATGTTAGGTTGCAATCTTTTCATAATAAATCTAGTACCATTACAAATACCCCATTTACCATTAAGATTTCTCAGTAGCATGATGATTGCACCCACTTTCAATTTTAATTTATGACACGACATTCCTGAAGGAGTAATACTATTAAGAAATTTGATGGTAAAATTTTCCTTTTCGGCATCATCTGTTGAATCAATGGAATTATCACTCAAATATGTGTGAAAGTCTCCATTGGGTATATCCAAAATTTCTTCATTTAATTTTTGAACGTGCTCATTTTTTGGACAAAGAATTGCACGTTTAGATATATTTTTAATATTATTTATTGATACACTATTTCCAAAGGTAGCTTCAATAATAGATCCAGTACAAATCATTTCACAGGGGATTTCAATAATATCCATTCCTAAATGAAAACTGCTATCAAGTTTGCCATCTCCAAGTTTTACTAACCATTCACTATAAGCAAAATCCTCTGATCTCATATTTGTTGTAAGAGACAACTTTCTGGAACATCCCCAAACATTATAGTACTTTCAATTCGTTTGTACTATGGCCGATCGCATAGCATGTGGCACAATACTGAGACATTGTCGAAAATCCCCTCCGAGAAGGAGAACTTTCCCACCAAATGCAACATTCAAATTCATAATTTTTCTTAGTAATCTGTCTATGGCATTTATAGCATGCCTGGATTCCATGGTGCACTAATCAATAATGAGAAGTTTGGCCTTTTTAATGGTTTTAGCAACTTCACTCTATATCGAGTCTAGAAATTGAAGTTTCATTTAATGGAATCAGTAATTTATATTGGGAATGAAAGGTTCTTCCACGGAGAAGCATATTTGCAGCAATTCCTGTAGACGCTGTGGGTAAAACAGTACCACCATGACCTCTAATATAATGTATTAAAACTTTATAAAGTTATGTTTTTCCACTACCACCTGGACCATCCAAGAAAAAACATTTGGGGTGGTCTTTGATGGCTGAAGTTATATTCTGAAAGGCAGCTTCCCCTCATTGCTGGGCAGGGATGCACACAGGCAACGTGATGTTAGCGCTGGGCAGGCCTGCTTGTGCCTCCGCTGGGGGCAGAAGTCACCACCCCCGTCCCCACCCACCAGCTTCTGCCTGTGTGTGCCTCCATCAGGAGCGGCCTCCATCTCTGATGTAGCCTGAAGTTACCGCTGGGCAAGCCTGTGAGTGCCAGTGGTGGGAGCAGAAGTCCCCACCCCCATCCCCGCCCACCAGCTCTGGTTGTGACTGGGACACCGTTAGGACCGATTAGCGTATTACCTCTCTCTCTCTCTCTCTCTCTCTCTCTCTCTCTCTCTCTCTCTCCATATATATATATATATATATATATATATATATATATATGGATTAAGAAAAAACATTTCAAAAAAATTTCAAACCATCAAAAACCATGAAAAAGTTGGAAGCTAAAATCAGGGAAAATATTTTATATAGAGCAGCTGTTCTCAACCTGTGGGTCGCGATCCCTTTGGCTGTCGAACGACCCTTTCACAGGGGTCGCCTAAGACCATCCTGCATATCAGATATTTACATTACGATTCATAACAGTAGCAACATTACAGTTATGAAGTATCAATAAAAATAATTTTATGGTTGGGTCACAACATGAGGAACTGTATTTAAAGGGCCAGAAGGTTGAGAACCACTGGTATAGAGGTTTTCTAAGAAAAAAAAAGTCACTGAATTCCCTAAAATTTCTTTACTACTATGGTATTACTAAGCTGCAATACTGATCCACATGAATTTTCAAAATAATATACAGTAGTTTCCCCTTGTCCACAGGGAATATGTTTTAAGACCTCCCAGTGGATGCCTGAAATTACAGATAGTTCAGAATTTTATATATATTATGTTTTTTTCTTATGCATATATACATACAATAAAGTTTAATTTATAAATTAGGCACAGTAAAAGATTAACAAATTAAGAATAAAATAGAACAATTGTAACAATATACTGTAATAAAAGTCAAATGAATGTGCTGTCTTAAAATATCTTATTGTACACTACTCACCCTTCTTGCAATGATGTGAGATGATACAATGCTATGTATTCAGATGAAGTGAGGTGAATGACATAGGTATTGTGACATAGCATTAGGCTATTATAAGGATTGGTTGAACACAAGCACTGCAATACAGGGACAGTTGACTTGATAACTGAAGTGGCTACTAAGTGACTAACATGCATGGAGCTTAGATTTCATCACACTACTTAGAACAGCACACAGTGTAAAACTTATGAATTGCTTATTTCTAGAATTTTCCACTTAATATTTTCAGACTGTGGTTGACTGTAGGCAATTGAAACCTTGGAAAGCGAAAACAGGGATAAGAGGGCACTATTGTATTCAATTTTAGTTTCCAAGGTTTGTTCATTTCATTGTAAATAATCAACAGGTGGCAGCACATACTATTCTTAAGCAAAGATTCAATCTGTGCAAAATATGGGTTCTTGAGAACTTGTATATAAATCAAGCTTTTGTAAATTGAATTTTATTTTTATCATTTAAGAACTCCTTTTTTAATTGCTGATTGGTCTGCAATAAACAATGGCTTATAAAATTTAAAGTTTTGCCCTAGCCTCTGTAAATTAACAAGCCAACACTTAAATGCATCAGAAAGAAACTTTCCAATAAATCTTTTTCTTCTGTGAGTAATTCCCACTCCTGAGGTATGTCATTTTGCTTCAGGTTCATTTGAATATATGTATATTAAGCTAAGGAAGGGATTCATCCTGCATTGCATTGTTGTTCATAGAAAAAAATCTGAAATGTATTAATGGACGAATGGAACAAGTGCTAAGAACCACAAGGTATCATTTGTGGGGCACTTGCCCCTCAGCATGGTGCTTACTTGCTGACTGCACATGTTCCTCCAAAGGTGGTTCATCTGCTCCCTGAACTGAAGCATATCCAGATGATGCAGTCTCACTGCGATTATCTTCTTCATGAGGAGAGGCACTATTAGAAGTTTCATTGGATACAGGGACTTGTAAAGACACTGATCCATCTTCAATATCCACCTTTGGAAAACATTTGAACAAATTAAACGTCTCAGAGTACATGCTCTTCTTTGACATATCATACAAAGTGTATTCATAGGTGACTTATTACAGCAATGGTTTTTCTTTTAAATATATTTTTATTGATTTCAGAGAGATATGAAGAGGGAGAGAGAAACATCAATGATGAGAGAAAATCATTAATTGGCTGACTCCTGCACACCCCATACTGGGGATCGAGCCCACAACCCAGGCATATGCCCTGACCTGGAATTGAACCTTGACCTCCTGGTTCATAGGTTGACACTCAACTACTGAGCCATGCTGGATGGGCTACAGCAATGCTTTTAACCTTTTAAACATATAATGCCTTTTAATAATCACAAAAATCTCTTGCTGGTTTCAGCCAGAGCAGTTGGAGTAATTGGATCCATTGATGGGCAAAAGATTTTACAAGAAGATTGTCATCACACCTGACATATTCATCTGGGTGATCCCAGTACTTCATAATACAATGCCTGGTACAAGGTAGGCAATAAAAAAAAAAATATGCGCCCTAACCGGTTTGGCTCAGTGGATAGAGCATCGACCTATGGACTGAAGGGTCCCAGGTTCGATTCCGGTCAAGGGCATGTACCTTGGTTGCAGGCACATCCCCAGTAGGAGGCGTGCAGGAGGCAGCTGATTGATGTTTCTCTCTCATCAATGTTTCTAACTCTCTATCCCTCTCCCTTCCTCTCCATAAAAAATCAATAAAATATATTTTAAAAAAATATTATGCTGTTCTTAGGGGAATTGAGAATTACTGTATTCTATATCTCCTCAAATCAGGAAGATTTTGTTGAGTTTGACTTTCTGTTGTGTGTACTGTGGAAGAGGTAGTTTTTTTCATTTACCAAATCTATATATATATAAAAAGCCCATGGTTGTAACGCCATAACGACCAAATAACCGGTCACCAGGAGATGCATTGATGGGTCTTGCCGGCACAGTGGATCTGGGGTCCTGCCATGTGCAACAGGTCTGGGGTCCCACCTTGTGTGGTAGGTCTGGGATTTGGGGTCCCACCTCACACAGCATGTCTGAGATCTGGGGTCCCGCCTTGCGGTGGTGGGTTTGGGATTTATCGTGATTTTGGCTCACGCAGCACGGCCCACAGGCTCCAATCACAGCAAGGCTGGCAGGCAGGGGGCGGGTGGGGTAGCGGATGGGTGGGCGCGGCAAGGTGGGCCCAGCAAGGAGTGCAAGGGTGGGCAGGGCCATGTGATTTCGCATGCTGGGCTTCTAGTATAATTATAATTTACTAGAGGCCCAGTGCATGAAATACGTGCACAGGGGGTGCGTGTCCCTCAGCCCAGCCTGCACCCTCTCCAATCTGGGACCCTTTCACAATCCAGGGACTGCTGGCTCCCAACCGCTCACCTGCCTGCCTGCCTGATTGCCCCTAACCACTTCTGCCTGCCAGCCTAATCA